CCTGATGAACTCTGAACCTGGAAGGCTGTAAGCCGCACAAAGAGAGGTCTTCAGTCTGTGAGAGAACGACTATGATTGCATAGTACTGTACCTGTAAGCCGCACAAAGAGAGGCTACAAGTACTAGTAAGTAAACATGTAAGGAAGCATAGGTAGTGTGGGACTTACTCTTCAGTCTGTGAGAGAACGACTGAAGAGCAGAGGCCTGCAGAGTCCTCCTTATATACTACTGGGGAGGACGATGAGTAAGCGTATAAGAAGAGAGCATGTGACGTCCAGAGGACGCTGACTGAGCGATGAGTAACGCTGAGTAAGGGAGCATAATCGACATAAGGTCAGATAGTCCATGGCTGAGTAATGCGAGTAATCCGGACGCTGTCTAGAATAGTCCGGAACATCGTAGAACGTACCAGAATCATGTGGAGGGATGGCAGGATGCCAAGTAAGTACAGAACAAAAGAATGTACGTATATGGTAAGTAGGAAAGTCCATGCTGGCGTATGGTAGACGCACAGCCACTATCACTGCCACTCCCGGTCCGGCACAGCCGTAGACACAGAAGTTCAACAACTATTGTGCTCGCAGCGGCCTCGGCCGTCGCACCCCCCCACCCCCCTACGTATGCCTGTCGATCCCCCGATCGCTTCCCGTAGCTACCTGCGCTGTATTGCCTACCATAGGGCTAGGCCCTCGAGGGCAATAAACGAGGATTCAAAGAAAAGAAAGGTTCAATCTTCAACCACTCGGAGCGGCCAAACGTGTCGTATACTTGTGACTCGAAGACGGAGTCGATACGCTACATAACTACGCGAACGGTTTTGCCCGACGAGGAGCTGTGTATATTCTACGGGCATAAGCTGTGGTTTGACCCAGTCGACGCGACAGCAACGGACTACGCTGGTGCCGAGATAGACGAAGAGATGGACGATGGATGGGGCGGCCTTGCTAGCCTCGATGGCGTAGACGATGGTGGCACGCTAGACGAGCTCTTCAATGGGTTCGAAAATGGCAGCCCGGAAGAAATCGTGCTCGAAGATGCACTACCCTTCACGCGCTTGAAGCTCACACCGGAGGACGAAGAAGAAGAAGACATGGACGCCATCAGGAAAGGTATGGTAAGACAATATCTCTACCATACGTTTATTTTCTGACTCGCGCGTTCAGAGGAAGCTTGGGCCGTAGATCTACCGGACCCTCGTCTCGCAGCCGTGATGCTGAAGTACGTTACACGGGCCAACACTAGAGGCGTTCTGTACTTGTTGACGCGCTCTGCAGATGGTTAAAGCAAAGCGGGCTTGACACACCCGCTATGGCTCATTTAAAGCGCATCCGCAAGCTCGATGACAAGATGAGCATGGTGCTCATCCTCACTCGCGAGCACCCGGACCCACCTGCGTTTCCCCCTGACATCGACCTCCCACCTCCGTACATCCTCACGGTTGCAAAGACGTCAGCGCTGACGATGACGTCGCTCAAACTCAAGTCATCCCTCTGGCCGACGATCTATACCCCGCGAAAGAAGTTCGAGCCTGAGCCATGGTCGAGAAGCAAGGTCCGATGGGCATGCGAGGCGATGAAGGAAGTGGTAAAAGTAGCGCGGAGCGCCGCCCAACAAGACGAGGTACATTCCATTATCCTGCAATATGTGCTGTCCACTAACACTACATCCAGACCCCCATAGCTGCGTACGTGCCTGTACCCTGGGACGAAGAGACGCGAGTCGCCACGCGGATGCTGGAACCACTCAACGCACACGATACGCGGCAATCCGCCGCACATCCCCTCCGACACTGCTTCATCAACCTCGTTCGCGCCGTGGGAGAGCTACGAGCATCCTCGACATCTATCGACCCTATCTCGCCTGTGCCTGTCCCCGACGTCCCCTCGCCTGCACCCGCCGTCGACGTCTCCTCGTCTGCGGTCCCCCTCGACCCAGTTGACGCCGCCCTGACGCCGGAACGCTCGCAAACACCCTCCGCGCAGTCGCAAGCGGAGGTCCGGAACGGGGCGCACTACCTCCTAACGTCCCTCACGCTCTTCACCACCCACGAGCCGTGCGTGATGTGTAGCATGGCGCTCCTCCACTCGCGCGTGAGAGAGGTGTTCTACCTGTTCCCGATAGAGAAGACAGGCGGATGTGGGAGCATCACTTGCGTGCCGAGACTGGAGGGAGTCAACCATCGATTCGCGGTGAACAAGTGGAAGCTGGATGGGAGGAAGATGGAGGATTGGATGGAAAAGGCCGGATTGGTTGTCGAGGGCTCCTGTGATGCATGATATGGAGAGGGAGGCTTGAAATTGAAATACGAGCTGTTTGTTGACTCTGCCTAAAGTTAGTGCATCCGTCCGGCTACTCCTTGGCTGGTCCTTTGGGGTGGAGGGGCACGACAGTCGTGTCTCCGTGTTTGAAAGTGCGTACGCCGGTGCGCACGATGCGCAGCCGGCTCGGGCAATTTGGGTCGGGGCATGCTACGTCTGCGTCGGTCGACATCCAGTCGTTCTTTGATGTCATGCGCTGCTTTGCGGCCAGGAGCGGGAGCACCGCGCCTGAAAACTTGATTAGCTACATGCATGCAGACTCCCCACGCAAGTATGAGTAGGCCATACTGTCGACTCTCACCTAGGGAATATATGGAGATGCCTTGGCCCGGCGGGAGATAGAGCATCTCGCCCTCGAGCGTGAAGTAGTCCCCTTCCTTGGCTCCGCACATGATGCGCTCCCCTGGAGGACATACGACTTCGATGCGCAGGTCATACAGCTGGAATGTATCACCCTCCAGCGAATTCACGCTTGTATCAGCGTAATGTGCCATAGAGATCGAGATATCCTGCAGGACGAGACCTTAATCTCCCAACAGGTTTGCTCTGCTTTTGGAAGTCCGCTGTGGCCGAACCCCGACGCCATCTTATCTCGCCCGCCCCCGACCGGCGCTTAATTGCGCGAACAGTCGGGCCTCGCGCGACCTCGCGCGACGCGCCGCGCGCGCACGTCTCCTCGCGCGCGCAGGTGCGCGCGGGGCGCTACGATTTCTCCTGTACCTACCGGCGATCATAGGCACACGT